GTAGGGGTGTGCATGGTTCCTCTTCTTGGTATTCTGGAGCTGTTCTGGAAGCCTCTGGGACTTCCCTTTTGGAGTAACTGCTTCTTCCCCCAGCTGTCTGCCCACTTGCCTGTTGTTAGAAATTCTCTGCAGTACATAGAGCAGGCAATAGGTACCATGTCAGGAACTCTCAGACATCAGCCCTGACTTCAGGAGCCATGGGAAGGGCTGCATGAGGCCTGTCACACCCCTGATCTTGTGGAGCCAGTATAGCTGGTTTCTGGGCAGAGGACTAATGGCTCCATTTTTACCAGGAGTCCCTCTGCTCAACTCTGACGGTCTGGAGAAGCAGTATGGTAGGATTGTAATCCAGAATCCCCAGGTGTGGTCGGACTGTACCCCAGGAAGGCACCTGAACCCACAGGCTCTGAAACAGTCCCCCTGCAACTGGAGTCCTGTTGCTCCTGCGTCCATATCTAGGGCCTCCTGGTTTTCAAAGAGCTCATTTGTTCCCTAACTCCACAGTCCACATTGAAATTATCCAGGAAACCTTGAGAGGCGTTCAAGCAGGGTCCTCACAGTTCCTACCTGGCTTTGACGGAGAGATCTGTAAGAGTAGAGGATAAAACTAACCTTCAGCCTCTGACTTTTCCCTGTCATTTGTAGCTCCAGACTTCCGGGCTTACCTCATAGGAGGGCTTATGGCTTTCCTGCTTTTGGTTGTATCTATCCTGTGCATCTACAACAGTTTTAAGATTGACATTAAACTTTGGTATAGAAGTGCCTTCTACTCAGCCCAGGCTCCAGATGGTGAGTATGTGTGGCCTTTGGAAAAAATGAACCGTCTCCACATTACTGCCCACTCATCCGTGTCACTCTTTAAATGCCCTCCCCTAAACGAGTCTTTCCCCAGGCTGGAAAATTCAGTGTGCAGAGTCTCTGGAGGACTTCCTGTACTTCAGAGAAATGGTTTGTAGGTGGATTATCAGCCTCCTTTGCCAAATAAGCTAGAAGGCGGGTAGTGGCCAGGAAATAACCACTAGGTGGCAGTGGGTCCTCCTGGTCCTTGATGTGCTGTTGTGTGGGAAAGGGTTCCATTTTCTGGGCCTGCAAAGTAAAGAAATGTCTGCAAGATCCAAGTCTGTCTGTCAAGACATGCATTGCACCCTCAAAGCTCAGCAGGATATACAATAAGAAAGGGGCCATCTCCTCTCTCTGAACCCTGTACTTCATACCTGAAGGAATTTACATCTCTGGGTGAGATTAGAAAGGTATTTTCTTCTTGCTGAAGGAGACAACAGATGGAGAAGAAAGCACTCAGCAGGAGCCAGAGGCACAGGCCCTCCCTTCATTGCTCCTCTGGAGACTAAAACCTATCTTTCCTTGTTCTGCTCTGTGCCTGCCCCCTTTTTTTTTTTTTTTTTTTTTTTTGACACAGAAAGGAATGTTCCAAAGCTGGCAATTCTTTCCATGCTGGTTGTGAGACAATGCAATTTATTATTATTATTATTATTATTATTATTATTATTATTATTATTATTATCTCAGAATGAATGTGATCTAGTAAGGGCCCAAAAAATACCCCAATTTGCTTTGAGTTCCCCTATTTGCCTATAAATTTAATAAAAAGGTAAAAGCAATTTACACAAGTGACATGCATGGAGATATCCCTAGGCTAGACCTTTTTCTTGAACAGGAGCAGGAGAGTGGTCTAAACACATTCATGAGTGGCAAATCCACAAAAAATGTCATTTATTCTAAGCAGCTGCTCGTGCATAAAAGTCACCACACAATTTTTGGTCTACATGGCTGATAAAACACAGATGCTGTAATTCAAACTGTATTTAACTAAATGTCAGAATTCAAAACCGGTAACCCAGAGCCTGGGGTGTAACTCAGTGGTGATGATGAGATGTGGCGTGGCCATTGCCTGGCCAGCCCAATACAACTTGAGGTGCTCAAAGCCCTATAGATCTTCAGGCTAGGCAAGGTTGGGACAGAAGCCCTCTTGACACTGCCCCCTGTGACTGTCCCCCTTGCCGTCTCTGTGAGGAGAGGGCTAAGCCCCACACCACTTGGTTCTTCTGACACAGATAGGAGTGGCTTGCTACCTCCTGGGTTGATTCAGAGAGCGTGACTTTATTTCATGTGGTCTTTCTGGAAGCTCTAGTCCCTTTGGCCTCTTAGTGTTTGTGCCTCTGACTCACTGTCTCTCCCAGGAGTATGACTACAGCCGTGACTTACGGCTTACATGGTGAAGCTGCCTGCTAGAAAGGTTGAGTTTGACAGAAAGAGATGGAAGGATGACTCACATCAGCAGAACAGGGGAACCCAACAGATGCCACATCAGGACCCCACCTTCCCTGAGAGCAGTACGGCCCAGACTCTGCACAGCCAGGGGGTGGTGGCTTTGGATATTGAAGCTGACAGACAGCCAGGGGGCCTCATGTTTCTCTCTGTTGTTATTTTTTAATTCTGAAGTGTGTGCTTCAATATTGTCATATCTCCTTCTATTTAAACCACCTTGAATTAGAACTTTGAATCGTGGCTCTAAAATGAGCAAGAGATGAGTCTCTGAGGTTGATTCTGAATCCTACTCAGAGCTTGGGATTCTCTTGAGAGTATTTTCTGAAACACATACGGTGTAGAATATATGGATGTGGAAGAGAGAGAAATTTTCCTTGGCAAAGTTTACTGTAACCTAGTTCGATAGGCTTTGTCGAGAGAAAGGTAATTGACCTATGAGTTACAATATGACAGCCGTTCACAAACTGCCTGTTAGGTGTGCCAGTATCTGCAAGACTAGAAAGGTCAGTCAGTGCCAGGTCACTTGAGAACTATGTGTATGTCTGTTCTATTTTGTTCCACCTGGACCAATGGGCAGTGTGCACATGGAATAGATTGCTTAGAACCAACCCAGCAGGTGCACAGGGAAACAAAGGATGGAAAGACAAACTAAGTGACCTGCAGAGTTGAGGAGAGGTCTTGGTCTCTAGAGCTAAATTTGCTTTTGTTCCTAAGGCCCCATCAATTAATTCTGGCTTTTTCCCACAAATGTTCCTGTGGTTCTCAAAAGAGCTCAGATCATTCTGGGGCCCGTTTCCAACGACGGCTTCCTGCAGAGAGTCTCCATTTACAGTAGCTGGCACCATGTAAGAAATCTGGCCTTGAGTATTCCTGAAGTAAATATGATCACGTGTTTTAGTGCTTCTATGGATGCTTGGGGTGGATGCATTGGTCCTCAGGCTACTCAGTAAAGGACCTTACATAGAGTATCTTTTAAAATTCAAGTTTCATCTATCAACTTGGCTTGATTTTGCCACTGCTCTGAGCTTGCCAGACATAAAACTAGGCAACGTCAAACTGAGAGAAAGAAGAAAACTGAAGAAATGTTAGACACTTTTTCACAACAATCAACCTATAAAGATGATCTTGTTTGGGCTTTAGAAACAGCCACAGAGGCGTGTGCAGATGCTTTTATTTGAAGGAATGGCAAAATAGCCTCAGAAAACAGAAGAGTTGGCCAGGATAGGAGTCATTGCCACCTCGACTTCCAAGAGAGGCAGGTATTGGGAACAGCAACCAGTACAGCAGAGTCTCCTTAGAATAGCCACTGGAAATTCTAGAAATTCTGGAAAGTAACCAACATATCACCTGCTGCTCTCTATCAGTGTTTTCCCTGAGCTGCTATTTGTGTAATTATGGCTGGGAAACAAGTCATGTTGGAACCTCACTGTGCACAACAGCCATCCATTATGCTTGTGTGCATTGTGGGCTTGGCAGATGATCACAGTGGGGTGTCTGAGGTCTCAGCTGGGTGGCTGGCAATCACCTTTTCCTTGGTGCCTTTCCACAAGAGCATCTCTTGTCAGTGCCTCTTGGTGGCTAAGGTAGGCTTCCTGGAAGTAGAATGCTGGCTTTCTGGAGATAGGCCAAACGCTTGTTTTCTTGTGTTTCCTGGATCCGAGGTTTTTTTGTTTGTGTGTGTATGCGTGTGTCAGGTCCATTGCACACAGCTTTGGAAAACTACCCAGTTCTAAAGGAATTACATGCTACTTCTTTGTGGGAGACAGCATATTTCTGAAAACAAAACAAAACAGAACAAAACAAAACAAAACAAAACATGATCAGCCAGAAGTGTTTCTCTCCTTGTAGAATACACTCTGATGGAGCTGGATAGGTCGAGGCATGGAAAAATCTGTCCTGGGTTTTCTGATTCAGAGTTCTGTTTGGCTACATCAGAGGAAATGGGTAACTTGGGCTTAGAAAATTATGTACACCTTTGAGAAGTCACGAAGCCCTGTTGGTCTCAGCTTCCTTCTCAGGATGGTAGGATTCAAGTGTATCTCTCATAGTCAGGAAGTACCTGGTGTTACTGTCTGATCTTGTTCTTCAAACATCAGAGGACTCAGGGCTGGAGAGATGGCTCAGTGACTAAGAGCAGTGGCCTCTCTTCCAGAAGACTCTGGTTTGATTCCCTGAACCCACACTTCAGGGTACAACTGTTGATAATCTTCAATTCCAGGGGTCTGCTGCCCTCTTCTGGTATCCTCAGGCACTGCATGTACTGGTACACAAACAAGCCAAATGCCTGAAAGAAAATAATGCTGAATTTTAAAAGTCGGGACAGCTGGAACAAAAAGGCAGATGTGGATTGTAAATGTTTCTTTGGAAGTGGTGAAAGCCCAGGGCATGTGGAAGACAAGTCTGTAAATAATACTTTTGACCCAGATCTTGGTCTGAGGCTTGGTGATGCAGCTAGCTCAGTGGTCAAGCACACTCTCCACCCTGGGTTTGGTCTCCAGCATGGAAAGAAAACAAGCTTAGAAAAAAAGACGTAAAAATTGGGGGCTTGCTTTGTTTTGAGTTTTCAAAACACTTGAGACTTTGTGCCATTGATCCCTCTCCATCTGTTCCGAGGATAGCGAGTTGGCAACCGAGGAGGACTTGTGTTCTCAGATGCCTTGTTTCAAAAGAGAACTGGGATTCTGTCAAAACAGAAAACATCTGGCAAATGTAGTTCCTTTTGTTTGCTATTTAAGTCAAGCCAATGGCAGGAGAATGAGAAACCACGAGAGGAAAGTTGCCAGAGGCTGTGCCTGGGCTTGGTAGTTCTAAATTTGGGTACCAATCTGGGAACTGCATTTTCTACAGAGGATGCTCCCAGCTGTGCATGGAGCACCCAGCAATGACAAATTTTCCAGTGTGTTAGATCAGGAGGGACTCAACCCGTTTTTGTTTGGCATGGTTTGTACAGGTCTCCATCGCCCAAATCTGCAATTAATGAGTCCCAGAACCACCACAGGCAGTGGGAGACTCGGGAAGCAATTAGGAACTGCAGAAATGGTAGCACCTGTTTGGTTTAGATTTTATTCCCCGGTAGTGAGAGTCATGCAATATGGTAACATGGAATGCCAAGCCAGCCAGTGGGGCACATGGAGGTCACTGAAGCCAGAGTGAAGTGCATTACAGTAGTGACCCAAGATTCACTTTGTTTACTTGAGGGGTCTGATAGAGTCATTTTGTGAGCTCGTCTCTTTTCCCTCTCAGATGAGAAGATGTACGATGCCTATGTCTTATACCCAAAGTGCCCAAGAGAAAGCCAAGGCCATGATATGGACACGATGGTGTTGAAGATCCTGCCTGAGGTGCTGGAGAAGCAGTGTGGATACAAATTGTTTATATTTGGCAGGGATGAATTCCCTGGACAAGGTATGTTTTAATGGAGGCATTAGACAACAAATGAAAAAAAAAAAAAAGAGGGCCACACCTGTAATCCCAGCACTGGGGAGGCTGAGGCAGGATGAATAGGAATACAGGGCCAATTGAGGTTATATGTAGAGACCCTATCTCAAACAACAACAAAAAAGGAAACCTCTCCTCTCCTTCCCTCTCTCACCCTCTCCTCTCCCTAAGTCTCTTTTATGTTACAAATGTCCTGCAACACATGGGGCTTTCAAAAGTCTATGCACAGAGCCTCCTAGTCCCACTGCCCCCTATATTCATGTTAGGCCTTTGCTCCATTAGGCTTACTTCTACAACACAATGGTAGGGAATCGTGGTTCATTAATATGAGTCTCTTCAGCCTAGGGATACAGTTAACTCAGTCATGGGAACAAGCAGCAGTCTCGGTCAAAACTGAAAAAAATTGGAAATAGTCAAGTGATCATTCACTTTACTGTCACTGAGAACAACTATGGTCTAGTTTCTCATTAGTTTGAATCTGCAAATACCATGATGTTCAAAGTTGATTTTTGTATCAGGCTTTTTCTTTTGGGCCACCAACCAGCTCCCAAATCATGATACAGAGACTTCTTAATAGTTATGAATGCTCGGTTTTATCTTATGCTTGACATTAGCTCTTACAACTTAACCTGTTTCTCTTCATCTACATTTTGCCTTGGGGCTTTTTACCTTTCTTTCTTACCTTCTGTAGGTCTTACTTTCCTGCTGTCTCCATGTCTGGCTGGCAGCTGCCTGGCTTCTGGCCCCAGATGTGACCTCTTTCTCCATCAATTTCTTCTACTTTTCTTCACTCTCTTGTTTATTTTTCTTGCCCTCTAGCCCCTCCTATCTTTCTTTTGCCTAGCTATTGGTCGTTCAGCTTTGTATCAGACCAATCAGGTGCCTTAGGCAGGCAAGGTGAAACAAATGATATACATCTTTACATAATTAAGCAAATACAACAGAAACAGATGTAGCACCTCTTTACATCATTAACAAAGGCAGCAGAAACAAATGTTACACACCTTAACACAGTTAAAGTAACATTCTACAGCATAAACAATGGAACACATCTTTACATGGTTAAAATAACACTCGACAGCAGATTTTTATAAAGGATAATTTATACCATCTCTTCTCCTGTGTAAGAGACTTTTCTATTGCTTTGCTAAAATACCCCACCAAAGGCGAGTTAGAGGGTAAAAGGGTTTACAGTTGCTCATGGTGAGGAGGGCATGACAGCGGGAGTGAGAGGCCAGCCTGGCAGTCGGGGAGCCGACTGATCATATTTCATACTTGCATAGGAAACAGAGACAGAAAGAAAAAGAGGTGGGGCCAGGCTAAAGCCTCAAAGCCCACCCCCAATAACTAATTTCCTCCATGAAAGGTCCACATCCTGAAGTTTCCATTATTATCCCAAACAATGCAGCTTTCAAATGGAAGAGTTCATCAGAGACATTTCATACTAAAACGACAGCATCCTCTGTCTAAATAAGATGGATAGGGTTTTTTGTTTGTTTGTTTGTTTGTTTACTTCTGTTTCCTAGGTGTGTCCTAGGCATGTGGTTTAGGGCAGTTCATGAACACCAGGGTTTTTATGGGAAAAAAAAAAAAACGGATGAGAAGGCCTCCCTGGCTTATCTGAGAGACTGGCCTGGGTAAATGCCACCACAGGGCCCATCCTACACAAAAATCCCCTCCTTATCCTCTTTGCTCTCTGTCTTGGAAGGCCACACAGCAAAGAAATGAATACTGAAATAAGCACCCCTTTCTTCTCACTTGGAAAAACATTTTTTAATGTTATTTAAAGAATATGTATTGGCTATTTCTAGATACTGGGCAATTTATACAGTAGAAATACAAAAATGAGCAAACTGAAAAAGAACCTGTCCTTAGAGAGGACACTGTCTTAATACACCTCACAGGAGTCAACCACAGGGCAAACAGACTGTGTAGAGTTAATATTCGGTGGATCCCCCCCACTTCCCAAGAAACCATCATGGTGTGCTATTTGCCTTCAAAATTAATTATATTAACTCTGATCATTTAACCAACTATAAAGAACACAAGGGTTCCCTGCTCTTTAAAAATCAGTTTTAAGGGCTTAAGAGATGGCTCAGCCATTAAAGGCTAGGCTCACAACCAAAAGTATAAAATCAGTTTTAAAGCATGCTTATTATATAGTATACATGCTACTGTAGGAATACAGCACAAGATAGTCTTGGGGAAAGTGACATAACAATAGATAACAGAGCATAATGTAACCACCAAACGAAGGAAACGAGAGGAGACTGATGACTACAGAGGATTGGAGCATAAACCCTGCACAGAACAGTTGGTAATGAACGTTAACCCACCTGTGCCTCAGTCTTGTCTGCTTAAAAGTCCCTTTCCTTTCCCTGTGCCCATTTCCCCTATTTCTGGTAGCGTTAACAGCCTTGCTGTCCTCATGCTTGGTCTTCTGAATCTTCCTTCTCTCTTCCAGCGGTGGCCAACGTCATTGATGAAAACATTAAACTGTGTAGAAGACTGATTGTCCTTGTGGCACCAGAATCACCCAGCTTTGGCTTTCTCAAGCACATGTCAGAAGATCAGATCGCTGTCTACAATGCCCTCATCCAGGATGGCATGAAGGTCATTCTGATTGAACTGGAGAAAGTCAAGGACTATAGTGGCATGCCCGAGTCCATTCAGTACATCCGCCAGAAGCATGGGGCCATCCAGTGGGATGGGGACTTTACAGAGAAGTCGCAGTGTGCCAAGACCAAGTTCTGGAAGAAAGTAAGATACCATATGCCACCTAGAAGGTATCCGCCATCTTCCCCGGTCCAGCTGCTGAGGCACACACCCTGCAACTGCACATCAGGCAAATGGGATGCTGCCATAGGGCTCATAACTCCCTGACACAGAATGGTTGGTGTGTGGTGGCTCACAGCTGCATCGTCTTTGGTTTGTCTACCCCTGCAGCTTGTTGCTCTTTTATGCTGGGTGACCTTGTTTTTGTCCTTGTTGTTTTTGGTTTTGTTTTGGATGCTTTTAATGAGACTAGGTTCTTTAGTACCTCTGTTTGCTTCACGACTCCTGAATACCTATATGCTCTCCTGAGCATGGGGTACCTATGACACCGGGCCTCCATGCCAGTGGAATACAGTATATGGTCAAGATGACAGACCAGGGGCAAGGATGCTTGGTCTATGTCTGGGATGGGAGTCTTGGCAGTCTGAGGATGCCAAGTGGAGAGCCTTGGGGAAGGCCAGCAAGGCCAGTAGCATGATTTTTGTGCTTGTACAGTGTCTACCAGGCTTTGTTCCCCAGGCAGTTTAGATAGTATCTGAATTTCCTTCACATTTCCATTGCAGTTAGATAACTAACTATAGCTAGCTCAATGCCCCTGGAAGCCACTTAGCTGTCACCCGGACCAACGGACTCCAGTTTTGAAAGATAATCTGTCAAACAGATTAAGAAATTTTCTACTTTTTAAAGATGCCTTGTCTGCCAGACTTCTGAGGAACATTTGAGAGATACAAATTACAGCTCTGAGGTGATGCCATTCTAACCCCAGTAAATCTATGAGAGATTTGGTTAGCGAGTGCATCCTTCTTACAGGGCAATTTATGACTGTCTAGTTCACCCAGTGTTTTAATGCTAACCAGAGCTGTCAACCACTATTACTATTTCCTAAGGCCCAACCTGGAAAACAAAATCAGCTCCAATCCAACCCTGTCAAGTTATGGTGAACAGGCCAGGTGTTGGTGGCGCAAGCTTTTAATCCCAACACTGGGGAGGCAGAGGCAGGTGGATATCTGTGAGTTTGAGACCAGCCTGGTCTACAAAAGCTAGTTTCAGGACAGCCTCCAAAGCCACAGAGAAACTCTGTCTTGAAAAACCAAAAAAAAAATAAAAAAAAATAAAAAAAAATAAAAAAGTTATGGTTAACACATGTGTGACTGCTTAGAGAAGCATGAACACAAGTCTACTTACCCCAGATAGGGGCACTGGACACAAACCAAGAAAACAATTCCATATAGGTCAAGATTAATGAACCAGTGATTCTTGGAGTTTCTTGAAGAAATATGGGTGAGGAGTTAGTTACAAGAGCATGGGTGTCTCTAAGACAAATCCACCATGGAAAAGCCCACCAAGCATGGTGACAGCTTAAAGACAGCTGGATCCCTAGAGCCCGTGAAGCATCCCAGCACAGCCACTGTCTCCTCTCCTAGCAGCTGTTTCTGCTTCTACAGCCACAGAGCAGGGTCTCGTGACTCTTTTTCTGGGATTCCTGAGGACTGAGGAACCTACCCAGAAAGGAAGTTTCAGAAGCTTGGAGGAGATAACTGCATAACTCCTTATGGGGAGGTAGTGGGAGAGGCAGCTAGGCCATAGGCAAGAAGGGGGCGCCTGGGAGGAGAGGTAACAAGAAGGAGAGCTAGGAGAGTGGAAAGCCTCCTGGGGAGTCCATCTCTCTCCTGGCAGGCTGGCATCGCATCGTGGCATTCATATCATGACTTGACACTGGACCTCACTTGAATATGTTTTGTTAAAAATTAATTTTGGTAAGATATGTGAACAACACATTTACCACTAGTCATTTTCTTTTTATTTTTAAAACAATCTTATTTTACATACTAACCCCAGTTCCCTCTCCATCTCTCTCTCCCCATCACTAGTCATTTTTAAGTTGAGTTGTTACTCAAAGCCATTAAGTGTATTCATGTTGATAAGACCACTGTCACCATCCTCCTCCGAAACCTTTTCATCACAGCAAACTGAAACTCTGTTCTCAGTGAATAACTTCTCCCTACTTCTCCTAGCCCCTGGAAATCACCATTTCATCTCCCATCCCTGTGAATCTGACTATTCTAGGAACTTCAAATAACAGACATCATTTGGTATTTCTCATTTTATGACTGGCTTCTTCTGTATATTACAGTGTCCTCAAGGTTCATCGGTGAGATCCACTTTTTGTTTCATTATTATTGTTAGTCTGTCTTTCTCGTATTTTTCCTCTTTACATTCCCAACCCCTTCTTCAAAGGTGCACTGCGAGGAGCATAGATGTTTCCAAATGCCCTCAGAGTGATGAGCTCACCGAGGCTTGTAGTATTCTGCTTTTTCACATGCTTGTAATATTCTGCTTTTTCAGCTTCTCTTTGCACCATGGGGATCATAACTCCCTAAAGAGGAATGCTAGCTCAAGGTATTTGTTGCTTCCAAAAGATGTCGCTGACTGGACCTTCATTCAGTCTCTGTCACTTTCCATGGGTCTTTGCTTCGACTGCATCTCTGGTAATTTCCAGCAATACTGGAGGACCTAGGGACCGGGCTGACTAATGGGACTCAGGCTTTCTTGGGTGGAGCCCAGGATGCAGTGCCTGTCCACTGGATCCCAGACACACAGCAGGTGGTCCCTCTATGCACAGGTGGTAACAGATCTGCCTGTATGATTTCCAGGCAGTACAAGCTTGACATTTTCAGGTGAATCATCACCAACTGGTCTGTTAGTGAGGACTTGGGGGACATCTCTCCCCATTTAGATTTGGACTCTCACTTCCCGAGTTACTTCCCTCTGAAAGAATCAGGGAGACAGTGGCTGAGGCTGTGTCAGGAGTGGAGAGACATTGCCCTGTGCCTTCTTTATGAGGTTCCTTGACACTGCCTTGCCCACAAATTTTAGGAAAGGTATTTGTTCATTACATTATTCTGATTATGTTTGTGGGGACATTAGGTGAGGCTTTATATCAGTAAAGAAAGTACAGTCAACTCATCCGAAGAAAGTATTTTCGGAAAATTCCTGATTTTTTAACTTGACTTTTCTTTTTCAATCAGAAGAAAGCTTTCACCTCAACAATGTGCCTTAATTTTCCCTTTGCTTGAAATTAAAAATAAATTGTATTATGAGTGCTGAAATGTGAGTGTGTTATATCAGCACAATGATATTATTACTAAGGAATTATTTTAATAAACCACAAAAACCCCTTTGCTCAAAGGAATTACCACCTCACATGTTTGAACAACTGGCATGTGCTCTGGAGTCGAATGCATTCTTGCAGGCCATTGCTTTGATGCAGGATTTGTGAAAACACAGACCCATATTTTAAAGATGGACAAGGTTCTTTCTATAGCAGGGAGCCCCACTTTCTGTGACAGTGACTCTCCTTTGGTGATTTGATAAAAACCATGGTGACTTTTGAGAACAACCTACATGTGCACACCATCTTGACTGTACTGATAGAAGGGTGATGATCCTCATACAGCCTTTCAGTGATATTTGTAAAAGGCCCATAGGGTCCACACCACAAGCTGTCTTTTATTATTGCATTTATAAAACAGGTAATGGCACAATTTTTATAGGATTCTGGATGATAGGCCAGTGATCAGGAAATGAGTCATCAGAGTCTTCCTAAGAATTATTTGGAAAAGAGCAGCCTTGAAGTTTAGTCATGTTTGATAAATCATCTAGCCTAGAGCTCCCCAACTAGTGTGTCACAAATGAATTTCAAGTCTACTGGGGTACAGCATCCCCCATTATCTGCAGAGGAGTTGGCTCAAGAATTCCAGTAGGTGACTCAAACTGGATAGTGTTGAACTCAGTATATGCATATGCTTAATATATAAATATATATATTTAATATATACTTTAGAAACAGATAACCAACAGTGAGAACAAAACCAAACATTTCTAGCAATGTATACTCCTACATGTGAGTGTGGACTCTATCTTTTTCTCCAAACAGTTTATCATTCTGAAGGTACTTGTCAATCTGTGCTGCTCTGATGATTCCATACCTCAGTTCACTGAGTAGCTAAAACCTCAGAACTCTTCTGCTTGCTTGATCTTGGTTCTGGAGAGGAGGAACTTACAGAGTTTTGAAGGGCAGTTCTGACAATTTCCCCTTAGGACTAAGCTACCGCCAGAGTTTCTGTAGCAGGGCTTCAGAGGCATTCTTGTGGGGGTAGTGGCAGCAAAGAAAAGCTCAAAGTAGCATTTGTAGAGTGATCTACTCTCATTGATGATTCTCTCTTCTTGGTTTCAGTTACTGCATTTTTAAACAATCAAATGGAAAAATCCAGAAGTAAAGGGTTACTAAGTTGTTAAACTTCATGCCATTCTTAGTATGGTAATGGAAACTTGCCATGCTCTACCAAGGGCAGGAACCATCTCTCTGTTTAAAGTATCCTCACTGTATATGTCACCCACCAGTTAGTTAGACACTCAATAGGTTGAGTTCTTGTGATGGCTTCACTTAGTGATGGCTCCAAAAGGCAGGCATAGTCATGCAGCTAATTCAAGATCTTCCATTAAACATCATCTCATCAGCCGAAGATGGAACAGAGAAGTCAGGTGAAAACTCAGGAGAGACCATGTTCACATGACTTTGGTTGTAGTATATTTTGCAATATATAAATTGTTCTATAAATTGACAGTATAAATTGACTGTCAGGTATTGTTATTAATCTCTTACTGTATCAAAATTTTAATTTAAGCTGAATCATAGGTATGTTTATATAGGAAAGTGTGTATGTCTATATTTATATGTTTACACATACATGTATGGATGCATTTAGTTTGGTGTTGTTCTCAGTTCCATACACCCACTGGAGACTAGGATGAATCTCTTGTGGATAAGGATACTTATAGTCCTACACCTAGAATAGAGAGACCGTCAGTTACACATCAAAAGCTATGCTGAATCCTAGAGCTAGTGCTGGTTGGAGAGGCCTGGGAATTCTTCCCATTCAAGCTACTCCATCACTCGTTTGTGCCTATAAGGCAGTTATTAGAACACACCATTCTGCTGTTCAGTGCATATTCTTTTTGTTTGTTTGTTTTGTTTTGTTTTGTTTTGTTATTTCGGGTTTTCAGGACAGAGTTTCTCTGTGTAGCTTTGGAGCCTCTCCTGGCACTCGCTCTGTAGGCCAGGCTGACCTTGAACTCACAGAGATCCGCCTGCCTCTCTGCCTCTCAAGTGCTGGGATTAGAGGCGTGTGCCACCACCACCTTGCTTGGTGCATATTCTTTTAATCTTGTATCACAGATAGTTGTGAGAGTGCAGAGAAGGGGCCCTTATACACATCCCGTGGGGATGTAGACTCGTGTAACAACTGTGGAAATCAGCAAGCAAAAAACAACAACAAAAACCAAACAAGCCCATCCCATGGCCCAGCTGTCCCACTCTTGGGTATATACACAAAGAAATCTCTGCTAGCACACTCCAGAGACACTGGTACCTCTTTGGGGTTGCACTGCTTACAACCCAGAAGCAACCTCAATGGCCATGAAGAGAGAGGAAAAAATAAGTGGCCTCATTCCTAGCGGAGCTTTATTTTTGTCATCTGTAGGAAAATGGGTAAAACTGTAAATTCTCATGCTTTGCAAAATGATTCAGACCCAGAAGGACACATGGCAATGCTTTCTCTCACATGCAGAATTCACATTTTAAGAATATAAGCAATGAAAGTGGAAAGGGGACTCTCGAGAGGGTGTGGGGGAGTAAGAGAGGGTAAAGATGGGGGAGTCTATAATTCTCTTATCTGTACAATGTGTATGACATAGAATCACAATAGGGACTATTTTCGGGATGACAAGCAGGCAGAGGAGGGGAGACAGGACATGGTTCCAGATGGTCAATAGGAGCAAAGTTTAAAGATATGCATGTATGAAAATGTCTTAGTAAAACTTATTTTGTCTGCTAGCCTAAATTACTTGAAAAACCCATTTTGGCAATTAAACACATAGCAAGATGCTAAAGATGAAAAAGTGGGGCTGGTGAGACAAATCAGAGGGATAAAGTCACTTGTGTGCAAGCCTAGTGACCTGAGTGCACCCTAGGACCTCTGTAAGATGGAGGGAGAGACTGACAAAGTTGTCCACAAAGTTGTCCTGTGACTGCTACACACACACACACACACACACACACACACACACACACACACACACACACACACCACATCCCACATAAATGTCTTAAAGAGCAGGAAGTGGAGCAGGTATATAAAACTCACACCAAATGGCTGCCATTTTCTCTGTTCAGAAATTCCTATGCTGTTTTCCATTTCATGGCAGAATATTCATGTTTTTTATTTCTGCTTTTAATAGCACAGTAGGAGAACAATGCGGCAGAAAGAAAACACTTGAATTTGTTTGGCTTTGCAACTGAAGTACAGTTTGACAGGTCATGACTCAGCATATCTGTTTACCAGGAGCTGGTTTCAATGTCCATAAGAAAGAGGGGCCATGTGTTTAGTAGTTATTACACAAGAGCAGGGTGTGCGAAGGGGAGAGACAATGTTGATTCCTACATACCAGGCCAGGCCAGTGGGACCTGATGCAGATCTACAGGGTGTCTGTGCTGCTGAGTGTCCAGAGCTGACCTGAAGGAGGGGTAAGCATGTCAAAGAGAAGGTAACAGACAGGTGCTGAGCCCTCTGGTACTCTGCAGTGACTAAGTGAGCCACAAACCCCGCTTTCTAGTGGTCTGTTCACCATGGTTTATCAGTTAAAATGGCCTGAGAAGAGACCAAGGCACATCTCATAGGGGATCTGGGCAGGTATGATCTTTCCCCAGAAGACTAGTTGGATTAAAACATATGTATGCTATATGCAAGCTGAGTGGGATGGTGCAGCCGGAGAGGCTGAGGCAGGAGGATTATGAGCTCAATGTGGTTACAGAGTGAGACCCTGTCATGAGAAAGCAAACAATAGACAAGCAAAGATACTTACGTGAAAGCTCTTTGTTGACCCCAAGCTACCTCTGGGAGACACGTGGGGAACTAGAGGTGGGGGCCGAATCTGAGTTTCTCCTCCCCATTTATGGGACCCTGCAGTGACTCAGGTGGCTTTCTGCAGTGTCACGACTGACCTTTCCTCAGCTCTTGGCCCTGCTTTCCATTTACAAACTTTCCCCCAACACATGCTTGTCTGGTGAGTGAATACAGGATGTGTTTAAAGATGAAGAAAGTGGAAAATTCCTTTCTGTTCTTTGGATGACAAATACACAAAGTCGGCTTCATATCCTGGCACTGAATGCTGCCAAGTTTTGGAGCTCAACTGCCAAGGGCTCTCTCAGCCCAAACATAGTTTTCCTGGGCCATTGAAGGTTGGGACATTGAGTGCACACTCTGAGCCTCACATACCCAGAATGCATCTGGAGAGCCTGCTATTTGCCCTAATGCTAGGACTTCACGACCCCCTGGTTATCCAAGGCAGATTCCTAATATGGGAAGGACCCCAAAGCCCTGGGTTTCTTCCCTTCATTGGCTCTCAGCTGCTGGTGTTTAGCTTAACGCAGTTGCCTAACCACTCCTGAAAGGACAGCTCTTAAGAAAGGGAGCCCAGGAGGTGCCTGACGGAGGGTTTAGGTTAGGTAGCAGAATTCTCCCTTTCATCTTGAGCTGTGTGTGCAACTCTGCCTCCAAGAACCCCAGGAAAGGACTCTTCATATCTTTCCATAGGTCAGACTGCAGCTGGGCCCATACCAGAGATGGGTACAAGTGACTGTGTGCACTTGTTTGCACACACCTTATGTTGCTGTCTCCCTTTTCTCTTGTGAGCCATTTCCTGCCGTAGGGAGGCTGGGTTTTGGAGTATGAACATGTAGTTCATCTTGCTTCCTGCCATTAACCCCATAGCCCAAATCCTCTGACTGGACAGGCTGGGAGGTGAAGGCTGCCTGTGGGCTGTAGCCCTGGATTCTGCTGGGGACCTGGGACTGTGTTGTTATTTTTCCCTATCTTTCCTCGGTGAAAAATTAAACTGTAACAGTGAGAAATGACAGATGTCCCTGAAATACATTTGGAAACAAAAATTATGGTGTGATTTGATTGGCACTCATGTGAAAAAAAATCACATCTTTTTGTCAGCCTAGCAAGTGAGAACCATTTTCTATGCCAAGCAAGTAGCCAGTTTG